TGGTTCGAACTTGAACTCTTTCCCTCGACTTCCCCTGTCTAGGCTTAGGCAACCTGAGGGTATCTCAGCTCTCGTGCTTCCTTCGGATGGCACGGCAGCTAGGCACCGAAAGGGCGTTACAGCTGAACCACTATCTGTCTCTAATCCTATCTAAACTTTTTGCATCAATCGTTTCAAATTGGGTCCTGTGAACTCCTTAAGGTAATATTTCCCCGATGGATCACTAATGAGGATTCAGACATCCTGTGGTCTGTTAGCTTACGTATCGCGTATGTATTTCTTCATCCATCATCCCTCCAATGAATGCAAGCTAAATCAATCTAATCTAATCTAAATCTTTTGTTCTGACTTGGAATGTCGGCTTTCTTGGTCTGAACCCAAGTAAATTCCTTGAGAATAGTGTGCTGCTTGTCCGCCTCTTGTGTATGCCCTGAAGTGCCCACACCGTCACCTCTGGAATGCGTCAAGGATCGCTCTTATGCTTTACGTTATTTGTGCTGTATGTCTGCAGTCTGGTCCCCTCTCTTCTTTCTAGCATCCGTGCATTCGCTTTCTATGTCAACTGTCGGTTCTGTATCTCTTCGTGGTCTTCTAAGGACTTATGGCGGTAGATAACCCTCATACGTATCCTAAATACTCATCATGATAACATGACTGATGTGACCGGGCTCACTTACTGCAGTAGTATATATATATATATAACTATTNATAACTTTTCTCTTCCTGTTTTCCTCTTAGTAGTCCTAATTCTGTTTCGCAACTCTACCTACCTCCAAGACCGTATTCTCGGAACTACTTTACATGATCCCACATTCATTTTTTTGTGAAAAGATTATAGTCGCTCCACGCTGAAATAACGATATGGTGTTCCGTTTCTCTAGCTTCGCATGCTCGACCATTCGCGGACCATTCGTCTCATTGACATTGCCCTTCTGATCCGTGACCTTGAACCCTTACCATCCCCCCATCGAAACAGGGCTTTTTTTATCCCCTATTCTAGTGTCATTACCATGTGATTGCCTTTATCGTCCGTCTGTGACTCTCCAGAGACCAGCTGCTTGAAGTAACCAAACATTAATTGGACGGGTGTGTCTTGTGCGAAGGCATGCCCTGATCGATCAGAGTGACAGCCACCCAGAATCCAGCGTCTGTATTTCAACGCTTTTCGCTCACTCACGGAGATTCTAGCGTGACCTCGTCAAGCATTCCGCGATAGCATTACGAGTAAAGTTGTAATAAATTTGTAATTCACTGCTCATAAGGTTGCTTAAACTTCTACAGTCCACGACCGGTTCCGCCCTCCTTGGGGCTCATCAGGTAGGCGCAGTCCCCGAGTTTCCGTCAACTTTATGTTCTACTTGAAACCAAATTTCACGAAATTAGTGAGATACACTCATTTGCAAACAAATTTGGTTTTGCGAGAGACTCACCTGGAACCCAGCTGAATCTCCAGTTTGCCTCTTGCAGTTGAGTGTATTTCGCTAACCATTTCGCTACCACTTCTGTTTTCCCTCTCCTTGTAGTCTCCGGCTTTCAAAGCCCTCGTGTTGAAAGACATCTCAAAGGTCACCCTTGGGGTCTGTCTTTAGACGTTGTTTATGTGCACCGTTTGTATCATTCCGCACAAGAGCATCCGATCACAGCTCTTTTCTTCCTTTATGGTCGACGTTTATAGGTAGTTGGGAAAAAGCCTCTGTAGTCAGTTCTCCAGTTTTGGGTTGCCTTTGGGTAATTTTGCATTCAGGTTTGCAACAAGCTCTGGCGATGTCGGGTCAGGTTTCCCAACCCATTATCTAGTGTTTTATCGTCTTTCTACTAACTATATGACAAGCTGTTCAGCTTAGCTGTTCAGAACCTAGCAGCTATGCATTTTGAAAAGTGCCACTTAATTTCCTCATGCCTCTTGTCCTGCAGAGCCATCCTTTCCAGACGGAGGACAGTTCCAGTGATGTGAAATCCGAACCAGTGCTTGCGGAGCTACGGCTGACCGCACTTACGAGCAGTAGTCAGGCCTTTTGGCGTCTGGGAGGCTTGGAGATTGTTCTGACCAAATTGGAGGAAATTCCGGAAGTAAATTTTGAGTGAGTGTATAGTGTTCGGTCTGCTTTTTTTGGTGGATTTGAGTCCCTTAATCTCCCGCTGTCCTTCATATGCGGGCATAGTTCTTGCTAAGCGTTCTACCGCGCCCGTGAGAGAGTGATCACGTGCATGCTCGTGGCATACCAAGGTGCCTTTTTTCAGAGTACCAGTTGCAGGAAGTTCCTTGCAAATTGCTGCTGACTGTTTGCTGATTGATGTGAGCAACCCGTCATGTTTGTCGCAGACTGTGTGAATTGTTACTTGTTGTTCTGAGCGCTATTCGTTCTGTTTCGTTCAGACTGTAGTTTTTACTTGGAAAGAGACTGGTGCTGTTACATTTTACTCCTCTCTTTCATCCCTTGCAGTGAGGATGCGCACGTGGTGATGAATACCATTTGCACAGTTGAACTACTCTCCGACCTACTGATGTCCGTCCTGGTCGATGTGTCGCACCCGGAACTGTTGTATTCGGTGCCCACCACGAATTTTGGTGATCGTCCTGCTGTTCCGTCCTCATCCATATCCATAACCGTACCCGAGTCGATTGCAGTGCGTTGGATCCAACTGGTCAACAGGCAGCTGAGTGTGATCTGTCGTTGGGTGGTAACCAGCCTAACGCGGCTTCAACGATCCGAAGAACCTCTGGCCGATATGTCCATTTGTGTTTCGGATATTCTAACACATGTGGTCAGTCTTTGGTTTCACAAACTTTTCGCCTTGTTTTCTAATCCATATCAGAAGAAGCTTCGTCTCAAACTCGATTGATTCATTGTTTCACGAGTCCACGGTCGCTCATAAATAACCGTGCTCTGTTGTCCTTCTTGCCTTCAGGTTAAATTGCATCAGCTGATTGATCGTTTGAGCCAGTGCGATGTAAGTTCCTCTATAGCATTTTTTGTTATCTCCAAAGCATCTGGTCGAATTGTTCTATGATCCTTCTAGTCGAACGTACATTAACATATTCGGCGGACTAAGCTTAAAAGTCATTTGTTAAAAACAAAGTTATGTTTCTAGGACATTATTGAGGGTGCGAGTTGGTTAGGCGCGGATTTACGAACCAGAAAGTCGTTCAGTCGTTCAGCTGTAGCACCCTTTTGGTGCCTAGCTGCCATGCCACACGAGGGCTGGGATGCTGCCAGATCGCCCGAGCCTAGACCGGGAAAGTTGAGAGGCAGAGGTCGGGTTTGAACCATGGACCTTCCGGCCAGTAAATTCGCACTCTAATCACTTGGTCCATCTCGTCCTTAGAAGGTCCGTTGTTCGAACCCGACCTCTAAACCTCGACTTCTCCCGTCTAGGCTTCGGCAACCTGGCATTATCCAAGCCGTCGTGCTTCCTTCAGGTAGTACGGCCGAAAGGGTGCTTAATTAATTATGTGAGATGAAATTCCACAGTTGGAAGTACTGTCCATTTTGACCGAGTCCGATATTGATAACTCGCTTTTGTGTGCGAACTGATGAAGTTTCTTTAAACGGTGACGAAACGTTTGCTGACCAATTCCCGAGCCCCTTAAACAAGCCATTACCCGACGAATCCAATTGTCCGTTGTGATTCTTTTTGATCACTGTTGGGTAAAACTGTGTTGTCTGGAACGAAAGTAATTTTGGTACCAGTTTGTGGCCGACAGATCCATCTGGACTGAGCATGTTGGTCTTAGATTCAGAATCCATCAGATAACATCGTTTTAGTGTGTTCTGGATGGACAGCGTTCAACGAGTTAACTTATTCAAGTATTCGCAACGAGAGGACAATGTTTCCTCAATCGCTCCTCAAAATTATGGTAATTCATTAGGATATCGGGAATGGACCATTTGTGAGCTTCATTGTGAGGTACTCGGTTCGCCGAACCATAATGCTTCTCCATTGATTGAGCCTAGCTTTTTTCTCATTTTGTACTGAAGATGGGCATATTTTCCACCCTTTCACTTCTAGCTCTCCTCCAAAGCGCGCGAGGTGCTGAGCGGACAGACATTTTTAACGGGCCTAGAACTGCTCCAGTTGGTTGATCCACAGGGACAAACATACGACGAGTGCACTGCATCACCGCGGTGGACCTACACCGTTCCTAGCTGGTGCTTTAACCTTTCTCCGTCTCAGATCGATCGATCCAGTGATGTACCCACTCTCCCTTCCCAGATTCTTGTCAATATTTCTTCGTGTTCACAGGTAGTCGAATTGATCTTATCCCTAGTTTGCTCCGAACGATCTTTCATTTCCTGGCCGTCCGGGTCATATCGCTGGTTGACGTCCTCTTGTATGGAGCCAGGGGATTCTGTCGATGCTGACCTTGCGAGCTTTTTGTCCACATTGGACTTACCAATCGATGTGAAGGGTAAGCAGGGCCATGGGTCTAGTCCGCTTTTTGTTTTTTTCTTTTGAACGTCTTCTATCTTGACCAGGTTTTATACATCTTGTTTGCGGTGCCTACGGTAAGTTCGCATTTGCCACATTTTCGGTTAGTCTTCTCTGTGTGTGTGGGGTGTGTATTAAACTTCTGGGATGCTCAAGGTGCGACCCAGACACTCGATCAGCAAGCAGCGGTGATATCAGTGGTGTAAGGGTGGATACTACTGACGAGGCATGCGATTAGTATGTGATTTTCTCGTAAATCCGCTTCGTATCTGTTGAAAAGTCAGATTTATTACGGAATTTGTGGAGTTGTTTTGTAGCATTCGTTTACATTTGAGTGATAGTCAATGAGTATCTAGGAGAGTTCAGAAGACTCGTTCTATAAGAAGGCGGGTATTCAGTTTTATAAACAAGATGTGTATGAAAGTTTTGCTTCTCCGTCGAATAGTCTGTAACTGTTCAGTTGGCGTTTTCTAACAAACAACTCCGCAGCGAAGACATTCTCCCTTTCATTGGTAACTGGAGTTCTAAGGCACATTGTGCCATATATTTCCCTACCCCCCTCCGGAAGGTCACCAGGCTATCTGATCCCCATCCACTGACCTGTCTGATAGGGGGATTTCGTCAATCGGTTGTTCTGGTAAGTAGCGCTTTCGCACCACGATAAGGTCCAATTCTTCCCGGACGAAAACAAACAGTCCTTCACCGAAACCTCCATCCGAGAATACCCGTGTGCCATGATCTGAGGAACCCGCCGTTTCCGATGAAGAGCTCCTCATTCGATAGCTTAGGTATTTACCCAGGGAACTCAAAATCCTCACAGAGGTATCTTCGATCTGTAATATGCTCATCTCCCGTATTTCAAACCACCATACTGTCTGGACTCGGTTTCTATGCATGAATTTTGTAATCCATCTGACTTGATTACATTCTTCTGTATTATTCGAATTAAAAAGTCAGCCTTCTCCCTCCTACAGTCACTGTCTCTCTATTTCTTTTATTTTCCATGCCGAATTCTTGTTCACCTGCAGCACTTTCCCAGAAACAATTGACTCGGGCAGACAGACTTGCCTACTTCAGCGGTCGTCCACTTCAGCTCATGCTTCTGCGGCTGTCCGTCGGTCTGTGCGAGTGTGTAAGTCGAGTAATCTATCACCTTTTCATATGTAACCGATCCATGTATGGACAACTGAAAGGACCGATCGAAGCTGATCACTTCAGACGGGTTAACACGATAGGGTTTTTTTTGAATGTGCTGTAACTGTACCCTCTCGGTGCCTGGCTGCCATGCCACCCGAAGGAAGCATGAGGGCTGGGATACTGCCAGTTTGTCCAAGCCTAGACGGGAGAAGTCGACATGCAGAGGTCGGGTTCGAACCACGGACCTTTCGGTGAGTAAACTCGCGCTCTAACCACTTGAGCCATCTTGCCCCTGAGTACACTGTAACTGTACACTCATAAGCTAATTTTAGCGATGTAGCCTTGCCAATGTTGTACTCAGTATGTTCGATTGATCAGCATCACTTGACTGTAGTTCCTCATGTGAGAGCACAAATGGCTATACGATTAGTGAATGCCATTTCATCTGCCAGGGTTCAATCATCTGTGATAGTCTACAAGTTGGGTGCCGCCCCCATCCTGATGCACAGAGATATATCTTTTTATTGAAGAGCCAAATACTTCACACGATTTTATCTATAATAATAATAGTTCAGATGCATCACCCTTTCGGTGCCTAACTGCCATGCCACCCGAAGGTTTCACGAGGGCTGCGATACTGCCAGGTTGCCCAAGTCTAGACAGGGAAAGTCGAGAGCCAGAGGTCGGGTTCGAACCATGGGCATTCCGGTTAGTAAACTCGCTCTCTGACCACTTGGGCCATCTCGCCCGCTTATTTTACCTATAAAACTTGTAGAAAAATCTCCGACTGCCTACCAGTGTTGATGAGGGATGCAGGTGTCTCATCAAAGTTCTTTGTTAACACCATTCCAATGTTCCAATTCGGTGTTCAAGTGCGGGACAAGATTCGTAGATTTTTGCGAACTACAGTTGCTTGATAAGCTCCAAGAAGAGTGGTGAGCCGTCAAAGAGTTTCCGTCAACTGTACAAATGGGAGAAATCGATAGGTCGGGTGTTGGCCTAGCTGTAACATGAGGCGGTCTTCGTGCAGCACATTCGATTAAGGATGGTAATAAACGTGAGATTCATTTCCATCCAATTTGAGCACCGCACATGTTCGCTCTTGTTCTGTTTCTCACCACAATCGAGTTTTTATTGCCTAATGTCCTTTATTTCGAATTTTTTTCCACAGGCCTCCGTGTTTGTCGATGCAGTTTCAAGGTTTGCCAGCTCAGGTGGGCGTTTTAAATTGGCCTTCGTTCTTTAGAAAAATCTACAACACATTATTCAGATATTTTTGTGCTATTTAAAGTACCGAACTCCGTGCTGGACTGGCGCATCGATTGCGCTGACTGGGACATGAAGTTTGCACTTTTTACCCCGTGAAGTTCTTTCTACCTTTGTTCGATTGATGGAAATGACATAAATGTGAGCGGTCAATGACCTGGGAACGAATTATCCTCTTTATGCCGAGTGATTTCAGTCTGGTTGCTGCCTCCTTGGATGGGTACCCGGGGCACGACAGAGTGACGCTCATTGAAGGTGTATTTGTTCTGCTTCTCACCTTATCACAACAGTTTAACACCAACGAACCTATCAGGTTATCAGATCCACTGTTTGACAGTTCCTTCCTTATTCTACGATTTCTGGATAAGCGAAACTGTGGTAGCTCCAAGCTCCATCATCATTATCGTAGTCAGTGTCGATGAACCAGTGGTAACTACTGGCTCTTGACTACCATATACTCACAAGGAAAGAACGCCCCATCAAAGCGTGGAAAGAGAGGAGGGAAGCCTTATGTTCCCAGGGGGATGAAAACGAGCGAAATGCCTGAGCGTTGGATTGGATCAAGTTCCTCTGCGTACCTTACTCAACACGAGGCCTGCCAGTATACAACGACAGGCAGATTTTAGCCAGACACACCGATTACGAGGTGACTGACGTGTTCACCACTCCAACCGGTTACGTGCCATGTCCTGTGGGGTTTCAAACCGCATACAGAGAGTATCACGTGGACCCCAACCAGGAATGTGTGTGTGATCAATGCCAACATGGTCAGCTTTATTCATTACTCAGTTGATTACGACTCGGTACAAATTGCTCGCTCATGCACGTTCCCATTATGAACGTGACGCAGCCAGCTAGCATCTGCCGCGGTCGAAAAGCCGAAGCACTTCTCTCTCAAATTTCAAAGAGATACAGGGTTTGAGAACTGCGCCTTGACGGTGCGAAACGCACATCTTTACTCCGCGGAGACTGACAATCGTTAGATAACGGGACAATGAGATTTAGATAGTCCAAGTTTCTTAGTGATTGCCACATCAAAATGGGTGATCCCTTGAAGTATGCCTCTCATGAGGATGTTGATGACCAAAGTGAACAAGAAAGCCTTAAACTCTGTCTATTGTACAGTTCACTGGAGACCCTTATACTTGACTTTCCGAAATTTCAACTCACAAGCGTCGCGACCAGTAGTCCTGTCCTGTCAAACGGCTGGAACGATCATTTTCGGACACCATTTTTTAAATAAAGGTAGAATGATTGATTAGCCTCAGTTATTTGGAAAAAAAGTTCTTATGCTCAGATAAAGCACAGCGCCCTAATTGTCACTGGTACGCGCTTATCTGGTCCGATCGAGGGGTAATCTAAACTCACGGAACATAACTCGACCTGAGCGGATCAAATGGCCTATAGCCACTTAACCTGCTATCTGTTTGTTGGCTCTCTCTGAGTACTGATTTCTCGATTGACCAACAATCTTGAATTCTTTCTGTATCATAGGTCAGCACTCGCTCGGTTCTTGCCGCTGTTAGTAACTTGTTTTGAAGCTCACTTCAGCCTAACTAAACATCTATCTATCTTCACCTCTTCGAATCCCTTTCCCAGCGTTTTTTAAACCCATTTTCCTGTCGCAACTTTTGAGATGTTTCACTTAGGGGATTTTGTGCGGTGAATGCGAGCGAGCATCCATAATTGAGCGTTGTGACAGATTTACCTCCCAATTTTGTATACCGGCATGGTCGTCATTTTTTAAACAGTTTTACTGCCGAATAACATTGGGTTGATATTGAAATTTTCATCGCCTTGGCGTTAGTTACTTCGTTCATCCATTTGTTTTCGTTTCACGAGGTTTATCTGTTTGGGTGACTGTGCTTGCTCAATTTAAGGTCGTTTTGTTACCGATTGCCCGAAAATGATCCTGGTTATCTCTTATTGGTCCATAAATAGAGTGCAATCGTTCAGCTCTGACACCCTTCCGGTGTCCAGCTGCTTTACCTTGCTGAGGAATGCACGAGGGCTTGGCCAGTGCCCCGGCAGTCGAGATGCAGAGTTTGCGTTCGAACCACGAACCTTTGGCGCTCGTCATTTTTAAACAGTTTTACTGCCGAATAACATTGGGTTGATATTGAAATTTTCATCGCCTTGGCGTTAGTTACTTCGTTCATCCATTTGTTTTCGTTTCACGAGGTTTATCTGTTTGGGTGACTGTGCTTGCTCAATTTAAGGTCGTTTTGTTACCGATTGCCCGAAAATTATCCTGGTTATCTCTTATTGGTCCATAAATAGAGTGCAATCGTTCAGCTCTGACACCCTTCCGGTGTCCAGCTGCTTTACCTTGCTGAGGAATGCACGAGGGCTTGGCCAGTGCCCCGGCAGTCGAGATGCAGAGTTTGCGTTCGAACCACGAACCTTTGGCGCCCGAGAAGTTTCGAGCGTATCGATCCATAGCCAACTGCGAGCACTTTCAAGGGATCGAACAAAGCCAAGAGTTTTATCCGTATTCTTCTGTATACCTGTTGCCATTCACTGAGGCATTCTGTGTATAGTCCCCATGTTCTCTGTTTGCCCATAAACTTAATTTAATCAGCGAAATTCATAGTCCACTAGGAGTCAGCGCCCGAAAGCTCAATGTTAAACGAACCTGTTTCTGTCGTGTTTTGTTTTACTGTTGTAAATCCAGCAATTTGGCATCATCTCAAGGTACATTCTCCATTTTCGCTTCTGTACACCTGTAACGCCCGTCGGTCTGTTCCGGCGTTCAGCGACTCCCCACCCGATGTTTGCCCTCAGTTCCGAATAGATTGATGTGCTTACCACATCGATCCTAGTCTCTCAGTCACTGGTTTCCGGTCAAGCACTTGATCACATCCGTTTTTTTATTGCTGCCACTTCTCAATCTGCTCTTCTCTTTTTCTCATAGTAGGTACCGATGAACCGCAGGGTCAGTCTATCTGGAATCAGGTGAGTTTTGTTCTTCCTCAACCCATTGGACTTTACTCACTAACCCTAACCTCGATTGATTCATCGTGTGTGATTGCTTTTTGTCAGATTGCTGTCGTCATGTTCAAGTCGTTGGAATTGGTGCTGTCGCGGTTGAACGGATTGTTGTCGATGCGCGCCAGTCTAATTCAGTCGACCGCTCCCGTCACCAATACGCAGGACGAATCTTGGTAGGTCCTGCTGTTGTGTAGCACGTGTCCAACTATCCCACCACTACTGATGATGGGCAATTTTGTTGCAGTTTGTGGTCACCAACCGAGTTCACATCACAAGTGTACCGTTCTTTAGGGTAGTAGTGTGCTAATTGTGACTATGCTGGTCTGGCCCGTCGCCACATCACATGACACATGGATGTCACCGCGGCCAGCGTTCAGACGTCCGCAACAAAGCCGCCAAGCTCACAGAGCATTTCAACCATCAGTTGGCAACTTGAGCCATGAATGTAATGTTT